AATTAAAAATCACAGTGATATAAATACAAGTGATGACCATCGAAATAATATATTATGAATATCTAACATAAACAAAGGTTATTGATATGAAATTACTATGAAAATGATAATCTTTGCAAAATTTTACATATGAAGATATCAAAATCAATAACCTTCAAAGGTTATTAATACGAATTTACTACGAAAACAATAATATTTGTAAAATTTCACACATGAAAATATCAAAATTGATAATCTTCAAAGGTTATCGATATGAATTTACTACGAAAATGATAATATTCACAAAATTTTGCCACGTGAAAATATCAAAATTGATAACCTTCAAAGGTTAGCAAAGACTTTCAAAGAATAACATATTGAAAAACAGCGAAATACTTATGTTAATGTTAACTTTCAAAGGTTTTCACTAGAAAAAATTTCCTGATGTAAAACAACTGAACAACAGTCTTACCTTTGGGAAAGGATTATAAACTCCTTAAAAAAACCATTAAGTTACTCTACTGGTTTATTCTCAAGAAAACCAGAAACAACCAGTGACAACGTCAACATCATATATTATAAATTACGTCTTGCATCAATGTGTCAAATACATGTTTAGGATATGTCCTTGATATGTCTATGACTTAACTAAATCTTGTAATATGTCATGTCAATAAGTTTGCACCTATAAATTTTGAAGCTTATAATAAGAGCTTTTAAATGATTTTAGAATTTATATTTAATAATAATTATTCAATAAATTTTATAATTATGTTAGCCAATTAGCTATTGCACCAGATTGCACCAGGGCTAATTCCTGGACTCAATTGGCTAGAAATAAGCTTGTAAGTTAAACTAAATTCTTTGTACCAGTCAGATGTTATGGCATTTAACTTTCACTTATATTATAGGTCCCACAATTATCATCTTCACCTCATTCTCCATTGCCACCATCATTACCATTACTAATAATTCACTCACCATCACCTTCATTTACTTGTTTAGAGTGCCCGCTACATTGTTTTAGTTAATTTATTCTTGTAATATATAAATAAAAATATTTTTTTGTACATATAATATGCACAAGAATTTTTCTCAGCATTTTTTAACAAACATTTGTTAATTGTAATATAGACATTTATATATAAGACCTGATCATCAGAATATTGTAATTGATAAAGAAATGGATTATTTATTTAATAATCATTAAATACTACTTCCTTTTACCAATAATTGCAAAAAAACCAAGTACTTGAAAAACTTCAATTATTATAAGAATAATCACTTAGCATTAACAGCAGAACTTTATAATTGGTTATTCAATTAATGAAATTTAATTGTCAATAATTATTATATCAAATTTCATACAACTCAATTCCAATTTTTCTTAATTGTTTGAACAATGATGCATTAGCAAGAATATGTGCAGTGTGTTATTTACTACATTTTCAATATATGGAATTATACATGTTCAATTTAAAAATCAGTATAATTTTTTTCACTTTCTTTAAATAATAATTTTCTGCCATAATATAATTATATACAAAAATCGTCGATCGTTAATATATATAAAACTTATTATTTTAATAAGTAAATATCAAAAGCGGTACTAAGTAACTTGAAAGACAAGGATGATTTACATATTGTATAAAAAGAACAGAATCTGCACAAATTTTGCATGTAGTTTTTAAATTATGTATATATTCCGCACAGAATTTAAAAATTTGAAACTTGAAAAAATAGTTGAATGTTGCATTTATTAACATAATAATTCTTGTTTTTTTTTTAAGTATTAAGAAATTGATGATCTATTGTTATCATGTCCGTTTGTTAAAACAATTACGGCAGATAACTCAACTGGGCTCAACTCATAAGTTTTAGTTGTAACTACAATTTAAATCTCACGATTATTACCAAATTGCAAAACTATCTTTTTATTATTATTTTACATAGAAACTATATTTCATTCTTTCAAATTTTTAAAATTTTTTACGATGCTATAAATATCCAATGAGATACTAAGGTTGAATATTTTGAAATTTAACTATCATAAATATTATTACGATTGGATGCTATTATATCTTGAGCTTTGTCCCAAATAAAATATTTTTCAAACTCGTCACTTTTCAAAAATTGGTCAATGCTATGAATATTGTGATATTTTGCCTTAAAAAAAAAAAAAAAACGTTAATCAATCATCAGATAAACTTTTAATTTATATAAATTAAGAAAAATTAGGTACTAACCTGTTTTCGTAAATCGAAAACGTTAATTATTACATTTTCATTATTTATATTAGGATTGCTAGCCCTTTGAACACGAACCTTTTCTCTAATCAAAGTGTTAAGCACGTGTAAAAGCAATTCATGCTGGTCTTTAGTCTTATTGATATATTGTGCAAACACCTAATTTTGTAAAAAAAAAATTATCAGTAAATGATGTAGTAAATAACACATTGTGATTCTACGAAAATACGAACTTTTTTAAGTTTATTTGCCATAGAATATTTTTGAGAAGAAAAAAAACTTTGCAATACTATATCGATTGCAACGTCCAAATCATTCGTATCTGTATAATCTCGAAGATGCATTCTATGATAAAATAATGGTGAGAATATGATACATAAACCATATAACAGAACCAAAAGATATTTCAAATCTAATTTAGAAAACCGATTTACCTGGCATGCGCTTCGGCTAGACGCAACATCGATTCTAAATAACGAACAGTGATAGGAATACCACCGCTTTGGGCCTGTAAACAAGATTTGTATTTAGTGCATGATGTAATTGAATATCACGAGAATAGATCAAATACCTCTTTTCTCAGGTTAGAATAAAGTTCAGAAACCATCGCTTCATCAAGATTCGTAAGTTGAGGAGTTATTTGTTTTGCATATATAATATATTTGCGTAAGAGTTCCTGAGAAATAAGCTGAGGGGACATGAAGAAAATATTAAAATAAGATGTTCTTAAAAATATACGATTTAAAAAAAAAATATATTATAAAAATACATTTTGATTTTGTGGAGGAAAAGAATCTCCTTCAGGAAGCACTTCTTCAGGATGACTACGCATGTGACTATCAACTACAAAACTTGCAAGAATTTCATCTGCTGAAGGATCAACAGTATCTTTAACGACACAAAGAATATCAAATCTGGAAAGAATAGGCTCGGTAAGATCTACGTTTTGAGAAAACGGGATAGATGTATTGTATCGACCTCGAATAGGGTTTGCTGCTGCAATGACTGCACAACGAGCATTTAACGTTGCATTAATTCCAGCTTTTGAAATAGAAATAGTTTGTTGCTCCATAGCTTCATGAATGCTTGTCCTGTAAAATTTAAATTTGTTAATAATATTGTATTTTACGCCATGTTTTCAGTAATCAATTACCTGTCAGAATCAGTCATCTTATCAAATTCGTCAATCAGACAAACACCTTTGTCGGCAAGGACTAAAGCACCTGCTTCTAACGTCCATTCTTTTGTTATCTGATCTTTCCTGACAGAAGCAGTAAGACCAACTGCCGATGCCCCTTGACCAGTAGTAAAAATAGCTCGATGCGCGGTTTTCTCAATATATTTTAAAAATTGAGACTTGGCCGTTCCGGGGTCACCTAACATTAATATATTAATATCTCCACGGAGACGATGTTTATTTTGAATATTTTTAGGAACTCCTCCAAATAACGATAATGAGATTGCCCTCTTGATATCGTCATGACCATAAATAGAAGGCGCAATACTCTTAAAAATCTATTTGAATTGATTTATTTGTTAAATCTTCCATTATTAATGCTCTACCATGCTAAACTGAGATCAGACCTACCTTTTCCCCAATTTTGTTATCCTTAGCGAGATTCTGGATTTGTATTCTATCGTTTTCAGTTAATTGATTGCTTTCAAACAAATCTTCTTTTTTAACAATGCTATTTGCTTCTATAATTGTCGCAAACACAGGAAATCCATTCTTGATATTCAATGAAACATCAAAGTTATTGCGATAAATTCCGGTGACTTCCTGGAGAAAAAAAAAAAGCAACGCGTATACAGGCATAAAATAAATTATGCAATTAAAAAAAAAAAAAGTAATTGCTTGTAAATTAATGAATTTTTATACAATTTCTTCGCCAGGTTTCGCAGAATCGATTAAATCTCCAAGCAAAACAACTTCTCGATGTCGAGGCAAACGCCCAGCAGGTACCGTTCCAGGACTTTCTTGTAGAGTAATCTTTTGATAATCGCTATATAAAGTCTACCAGTTTTTTTTTTTCGAATAAATCATTGTAATAAAAAACAAATCGTTTTTGGAAAAATTATTCAATTAAATATTTGTTTAAACCTGTTCAGTATTTAAAATAAATGGTCCCTTTGATTGACAATGTAGGCAATAATTTAATTTGATTTCGGTTTGAATATCTTGAGTGTATGGCCCAAGGAGACCTCCGCATTTTCCGCAATTATATTTCACGTATTTTAGTTGAGGGAATACACCGGTTCGCCTCGTAATTACTCCGGAAACACGTACTAACCGGTTGAGATTAGTTTGCCTGGCAAAAGAAATAAAATAAATACTTAACGTAACAAAATCAAAACATAATGAATCGGAATGACTTGCCTACCTAAGGTCTCTGATGTTGCAAAATGAGTGAAAGTCAGTTATACGAACACGTATTTCTTTACCAAGATGTTTGTACCCTGAATGATTTTGTACGCAAACGTTGTATGCGGCTTCATCGAAGATTTTAAGCATCTCCTCGGGTGCTTCCTCGAGGAAAAGAGCAAGTATTGATTTATTTTGCTTTAAATGACTAAAATGGACTTTCAAGCTATGAATTTGTTCTATAAAAAAAAAAAAAAAAAAAAAATTAATGCCTTTTACATTAAATCACGAAACAGTTGATATTTTTTACCTCTCGTTAGTTCTTCTATACGAGGACCGTATATTAATTTCCCATCTTCCACATATGTCTTTAAAAAATTTCCGAACTGATGATAAATTCCTCTTCGTACAACGGGAATCCTAATCCATTCAATCACAGATAAAGCTTTAATTTCTGATATTTCTTCGAGATTCATATACTAAATAAATTTGATTAATTAATTTAAGTAAGCTATATATAAATGAAGCATATTTTATGTGTATGCAAAAAGTGAAGAAGTTACCTCCTCCTCTTCTTCCCCTTCTTCTTCTTCTTCATCCGCTTTTTCTGTTTCTTTTTGTTCTATGTTGGCTTGGTTATTACGGCGTTTATTAATTGGTTTAATCAAATCATTAACTAATTATTACATTTTTTTTTAAAAAAAAATGAATAAATAAACAATGGATGAATAAACAATGGATGAATAAACAACGGATGAATAAACAATGGATGAATAAAAAATGGATTAATAAATAATGAATGAACAATAAATTGAACAATTAGTGACATGAAACCATTTTTTTTTTACCGATGGGCATAAATACACCAATACTTTGATCAGTATCCGGATCCATTCCTCTTTCCATTCTTTGCATATATAATTCAGCCTCTCTTCGAATAGTTGGAGACAAACTAACTTGCGATTCATCATTTAAAAAGTCTGGGTCATATTCATCTAAACGAGGGTCTTCTTGATAATCTCTTAATAAAAAGAAATATCATAAAATTTTAATTTAGTATTTTTTTAAAGTAAAGGCACGAAGGCAATTTTTACCTTTCAAAGATTTCAGGGTCAAATAAATTTTCTCCTTCTTCTGAATCAGCAACCTCAACTATATCGTCTTCAATTAAATTCTCTTCTTCTTCTATGTCTGATAATAAGATAGAAGGGTTTAATTGAGACAAAGAATCTCTTTGAGGACTCGAGTCTCGTGCAACTTGAGCGCGAACTTGAGATGAGGGACTAGATTCTCTGGCACGTTTACGCCCAGACTATTTTTTAAATCTTTCCGTCAATGAATATTCATGTACAAAGCAAACAAACACATAAAATTTATAATATTTTAACTTGCCATTTCAAAATTCAGTTAGGTAAAATAGACACTAAATATGCTAAAGTAGATAAGATTAATCTTTTAAAAAATGCAAAAGAAGTTGATTTATCATCTAACGCGTTACGCGTCAACTTTAACACAAATTACGGAACAAAAGTATTGTTTTTGATACGTTTAAACTTGATTTATTATTATAAACCAAACCTAATTTAGAGAAAAAATTATAATTTTTTTAAATGACTAAATTCTTTTTTTTCTTTACAATAAGATTTCTCGATAAAAATTGAAATACGAATTTGCCATTACTTTAGTCTTTCGCCCAAAGGGAACAACTTAATTATTATAGAAAAATATAATATTACATAAAAAATTAAATAATTGAACATTTAATACATTTAATAATAATTGAACATTTAACATAATTATATTACTTTTAAATTTAAAATAAAGGTAAAACTTTAATTTGAATAAACAATTACAACTGAAATTCGAAGTAAATTATTATTATTATTATTATTTAAACAAAGTGTAATCATTTTGAATCATTTTGAACCATTTGAAATAGAGAATAAAATAAAGAATAATAAAACTAATAATAAAATTCTCTTCGCCTATATTTTCTGTAAAATAATTAAAAAGAAATTTACTTGAAATCTAAGTATGTTTTGGCTCGATTATTAGTCCGCGTAACATAACAGTAAATGCAAAGATTGTATTTAGTTAAAATTTATGATATCTCAGCACTCCCTATTAAAACGAAGATATAGTAAGAGCACCTGGCAACAAATTAATTCTGTTAACTTAGTTAACAATTTAAAAAGAATAATTAAGTTGTGATATATAAAAGAAAAGAAATTAATAAATAAATCAATAAATCAATAATAACTATAATAACTAATAACTATAAACTTTTAATAATCAAATCCTTTTAATGAAAAAAAAAATGAATGGATAAACAAATGATAATTGTTACACGAAATATAATAGCATAGAAAGATTTTTATTTTTTATTTTTTTTTCTTATTTGCCATTATGGACATTCGTTTGAGAGAGCCAATGAGCCGTTCAGAAAAATCAATGAAGCCCAAAGTTTCAGAGAATATCAAGAAAATTAAAGAACGTATAATACAGACCAACCAACTAGTGGAGCTATTCAAGACCAAAGAAAAAGGTTTCATATTACATAATCAACCGAAATATGTGACGCGTTTCTTTTTACTAATTTGACTGATTTTATTACTTTAAGAACTTGTTCAGCATAAAGAATGCGTCTTGTCTTTAGAACAAAAACTTGGAAAAATGAAAACGCAAGTAGACACGTTGAATAGGGAAAATGAAATTTTTCAACAGGTGGCACAGCAATTTCGTTCCGAAGTTGAACAACTTAAAAAAGAATTGGCACAAAAAAACGACTTAATAATTGAACACGCATCATTAAAAACCGATCTTAAACGAATTCGAACAGAAAACGATAAATTAGGAAAAAGAATTAATTCACTTGAAGTATTTGCATTTGTCATAAAAATTTAAGTAAAAAAAAAAAAAAAAAAAAAATTAAGATTGAGACAATTCACCAATTTCTTTGTGGTGTGGATAATTGTTAAATAATAGGTACTTAAAAGTCAGCTGGAACTCAAAATACAAGAAGGTGAGGTCGCGATTAATATAAGAGAAAGTCAGGAGAAAGAAATAACTCATTTAAAAAATGAACTTGAGAAGAAGTAAGTAATTTCATAAGTCTTTTATAATATACGAATATATGATATAAAATTTAACTTCAACAAAATGAAATGATTGACATTACTTAAATATTTTAATAACTTCTATACATTGTGTTTAAAAGTTATTTTTTTATAATTTTATATATTTAATTTTAATTGAGGATGCTTTCTCATTGATGCTAGGTGTTCACAAGAAATTATGAAATATTGAAATAATTTGCAATGTTATTTTCTCTCTTTTTCTCTCTTTCTCTTCCTCTCTCTTCCTCTCTCTTTCTCTCTCAATTGAAATAATTAATATTTTGTTTATTCAATTTTTATTTTTGTAAATAAAATAGAGAAGAACAATTCAAAAAGGATCAATCGGATAAAGCTATCATTGATTCCAAAATAATTAAATTGCAAAGAGATTTCAGTACTACAAAGATCGAGAATACACGATTATTGAAAGAACTTGGTCAACAGAATAAAGAGGTGCTTAATTTACAAAACCAGAATACTGAAATAGAAAGATTAAAAAACGAAACCAAAAATCTTCAACAGAAATTAAATGATTCCAAAGATCTTCAACAGAAATTAAATGATTCCAAAAAACAAGTTTCAACTTTACAGCGCGAAAATAGAGAGATACTTAATTTAAAAAAGCAAAATTCTGAGATCGAAAGATTAAAAATCGGAAACAAAGATCTTCAACAAAAATTAAATGATTCACAAAAACAAGTTGTAACATTACGGCATGAAATTAATTTATCGTCCAAAGCTTCGTCTCAAAGCAAAAGTGATACAGATCAACGTGTAAGTGTTTTAATAGAAAAAATTCAATCCATGAAACAAGATATTGAAAACTTAGAAACCCAAAAGGTAATAATAAAATTCTTTTATTTATTGGAATTTTTTAATATTAATTACTAATTAATATTTGTCTTTAGAGGGCCTTACAAGATCTTGTGACTGTACAACAAGTAGAATTATTGAAATCACAACAATCTAAAAAATCAGAATTACTTTCACAAGTTAATGTGCGTATTAGTCTTTTAATTTTGGTTTACTTTAGTTGCATTTTTATTTTTGAAAAAATTTAATCAAGATTCTGAGAGATGTTTTTCATAATTTTAGGAAATTGAAAGATTTTACAACAAATCTAAGGAATTTACCTCTCAGGATAGTATATCAAAATCATCTATGCAGACTTCCGAAGAGCGATTGTCAGAATCTATTGCTTCAGGGAAAAATGTACAAATTTTAATTTCTAAAAAAGATTCAACGAAAGCTAAAGATAATTTAAACAAATCTAAACGAAACAATGCTCAAGATACTGTTCTTTCAGTCTTTGGGACGACAAAAAATAATACGGGTTTAAGAAAAAGGAAAGCAACAGGAATTGTATCATCATCATCTACGAATAGTTTGTTGAAAAAGATGACTCAATCTAAGAAAAGAAAAATTGATAATAAAGCCGAAAACAAATCATTGAAAGCCAAAGTATCCTTTGACCGTATCGATGATTTAGATTGTAAGTAAAAATTGGAAGTTTTTCATTTATAAATATATCTATATATATATATATATATATATTATTAAATTTATTAAATTAAATTTAAATATTTTCTGTAAATAGTCATAAAAGAGACGATCAATAATTTTAGGCTATCATCACAAGATTCATTACAATTGATGGATATTTTGCGACAATTCGCATATGAAAAAAGTTCAATTTTTCTTCAAGCGATTGATGAATTACTCCATAATTTTGATACACCAATTTATTTGGATAGTGAAAACGATGATGATATATTGAGAAATTTTACTCGAGAAGGCGCATTTTTAATACAGATACCTACTGTGTTGCCTCAGAAAGAAACAAATGTTTTGTTATTTTTATGGTTTCTTTTCAGTGAATTTCCTACGGTATTTAAATTAATTAATTAAAATATTTAAATTAATTAATTAAATTAATTAAATTAATTTGTAAATGAAGTTTAAATAAGTTCATTTCTCATTTATTAATTATATATTTATGTAATAGAGTAGGTTGCTCGATAAAGTATTTTCGTGGGCCAATGAAAAAACCTTATTAGCTGGGATTAACTCTGATGAAATATTCGATTTAGGATACTTTTGGTGAGCTTTATTCATTTTTAAGACATTATTTTTCTACAGTCACCCGATATAATGAATTTTTGGAAATTTTATTACTAATCCATGATTCTATCCGGTGGCGGATGTATATAATTTATTTATTTATTTTTTTTTTTTTCGAATTAATTATTAATTAATAATAATTATTCTAGTCGTTTATGTCGCGTATATGTGGCTCTTTGCAGAGCTGTAAATGATCTTCAGCGAGCTCGTATATTTTGTTATGACATCCTTAGGGAGAAAACTAATTATCAATTTATACAGTATTTGTTTGTGAATGTCGCGAGAATTTGGCCTGTTACTCTCAAAATCACTAAAAGTTTCTATGCAAATCCATTTCCTTTAGGTTCGGAAATCTTTTTTTTTTAGTATTTTATCATTGTCTAATATTTTCTAATACTTTTTCGTGTTTGTTCAGATGAATTATTCATTCTACGTACAATTGAGAGCATTGTTGCTAGAATTTTTATTGAAAGAATGCGCGAGGAAACGGTAATTATTTTTTACTCTTTGCAAATAATGTACGTATGTATGAACATCTTTACTGATCGATATTGAAACATAGATCCATAAAATGTATAATACTTTTATTCAATGTTGTTCTTGGACTGAGCCACACCAAGTTCTGCCTTTGAAAGAAATTTTGCAAAATTTAGCAGATATTCTACAGTCTGAAGAATTTCATGATCGTTGTTCCAAAGAGTATTTCCAAGGTAAATCATTAGTTTATATGTTTTTTATATGATTAAATTTGTCTATAATTAACGGTTAACGATAACGTAACTTTGTTCATCGTATAGATCAATTTCAAGAGTATCGATTTAACCTTGTCAAGTCTTGTGAATTAGCTGCTACTTGGTGGCGATGGGATGATGTATTCGAACGATTTATTGGGCAAATTTTGTGGCCACTGGTTAAAGATGAGAAAGGAAATAACACTCCTTTGGAGATTATTGGGGAAGTTTGTCGTCCAAGATTATCTGAACGCGAAGACAAAATGGGTGTCGTTGAAATAAGAGAAAGAATAACTTTATCATTAGATGAGTGTTGTCCTGGTACATTTTTTATTTTTTTATCATTGATTTTAAAAATTAATGATGTACTAATTTATAATTGTTATTCGATTGTTATATAGTTTCCTTTACATTACAAGTTCAAGCAGCACAGGTTTTGGTCAAATTAGCAAATGGAAATCCACGATATTATCAAGATGTACTTTCTTGGTATTTAAATTTGGAAAAAGAAAAATCACGACAGTTATCCAAATCTTTTACCGATGATTTGGAATATATTCAAACATATATAGCTAATTACAGCATCAAGATTGCATGTAAATAATCTTCTCTTTATTTATAATTCTGGACCAGGAAGTTTAGGTTCCCACCTTTTAAACATGTGATAGCTACAGTAGCGGTTTAGAATCTATTTCAAAGACAATATTTATGATATTGATTCCGTAATATAAACTGATTAATTATTTAATTATTCTTTCACCAATTTGCATAATCTTTCCATTATGGATATTGAACTTGTTCGGTATGAACCTCCAAATAAATAATAATGATTCAAATAATGGTATAATTGATAAAGTTCTATAAAAAGTAAGGGTTTTGTTTTTTTGGCGCATCTGCGTTTGGCGCATTGGGTTTATGAGTGACAGATAGTAGGCAAATATGAATGTTCGTGTGACGCAGGGTGACAAATAATCTAACTAACCCTTGCGTTTAATCAATCAATAAAATATTTAATCCGTGCGCCATAACGCAGATGCGTAAAAAAACATAATCCAAAAAAAACAATATATATTAATGTATAAAATATTTGAATTATTACACCATTCAAAACTGTTCAAACCTTGTCTATCCTCAAATCCGGGCTCTTGACGTGGATAATGTTTATGATATTCTTTAAAAAAAACTTATTTTAAAGATATAACGAATGGTCAAAAAAACGAATTAAGAAAATTAAATGAATCAAGAATTTAAACGATTTAAACGTACTAGGTCCCGGACTACCAAACATAGTCAAAATGCTAAGTTCCATTTCATTATGTCCATAATATGAACATGGATCATATACAACCGGCTCTTTTTTAATAGTATCGACACCCCAATTTCCGCTCCAAAGGTCACCATGTATTAATACAGGTTTTACTTCAATATCTTTAAGCAAGTGATGAATAACTTTATTGATAACGATTTCACCCAATTCTCGTAATCTAAAATCACTAGGATATTTTTTCAAACATTTATCTATCATAGACTTCAATCTTCTTTCGCTGAAGAATGTTTCCCAATCATTCTCCCACGTATTATCTTGTTCAGTAGTTCCACACATTGTCACCACAGAAAAACCAAATTTACCATTTGGCGAATACGTGGAATGAAGTTGGGCAAGCTTTCTTGCAAATAATTCTTGCATAGACGATCCAGAAATCTGAAGAAAGGTAGTCACTAGAAAGGCGCCACCATTAGGTAAAGTCCCAACGCACAGTGGTTTTGGTGCAAACCCTGGAACTGCCTCTGATATTGCTTCCAGTGATTCTTTTTCACCTAAAAATATAGGTATACATTTATTTTATCGAACATTGATAAGGGAAATCGATTTGAAGGTTAAATTACAGACCTTCAAACATCACTTGTGAATTTTTATCATTATTTGTCTAATATTTAATAAGTTGTTTAATAAACATGTGTTTCTTAAGTTCAACACTTGTCTTTGAATAAATACCTTGACGAATATGTCACCCGAATCAGTGCGAAGCTTAAAAGTATTATTGAGACTACTGCTTGAACTTATAATTTTTGTACAAATTCCATTAGCACGAAGTGCGTCTAAAATTACCGAAGTCACTTGCGACATTGTTACTTGAAATTGTCAAAATTACATATTCCAACTTTACCCACGCGGTGACAAAATGTGTGTAACTTTAACATGATCCCGATGACGTAAGCTAATTCAGATCTAAGATAGTGGTACTGAAATTACTTACAAACAAAAATACATATATCAGAAATTCCAAATGCTAGGAGATTCTATGTCAATTATTAAAGTATACTTCATACATTCCTGTCTCCTTTGATATATGCACTGATGGAAATATTACTTTCATTCTTTCATTAATAATTTATTCTTGTAATCTTAATTAGTATTAATAAAATTTTTATTATTTTACTTTATACTATACATGTCAACTCAACTCCTGAAATTTTAATTGCATTTATGTAATTGTGTCAAATAATTGTGTCAATTGTATCAATTTTTCATGACTCAATTTCAAATCATATAATTTAGTTTATTAGTTAAACTTTAAAACTTACAAATTTGTACAAATAATTTATAATTAAAAATTTTATTAATTTATAATCTAAATATCAATTTATATATAAATTCAATCTACAGTTACCCATTTGGTATAGTGTAAGGATGAGAGATGCAATATAAATTGAATCAGGAATTTAGTCAAATTTAATTTAACCAATTGAGCCCAGGGATTAGCTCTGGTGCAAAAGCTAAATTCTGATATAATTCTAATTGACTGGTATAATTATAAAATTTATTGAATAATTATTTTTTAATATTTTTAATTTTTAAAGGTAATTGGTTTTATATTTAATTTTAAATTGACATTTTTATAATAAATTGAATTCTGGTTGTTTTTTTAGAAATAAAGTATTTTTTTAGAGAAGAGTATTTATTTTTATTTTAAGAGAGAGAAAGAAAAAGAGAGAGAGAGAAAAAAAAAGAATATTTGAAATTATATAAAGATGTTCTAGTATGTTATATGAATAAAACATTCAAATAATATATTAAAAATACTAATTTTAGTATACTATATGAATGAAATATTTGTAAAATGCCTTAGAACGGTATGTTCTGGTATACTATATGAATAAAATATTCATAGAACACCTTAGAACAATATATTTAGTATACTATATGAATGTCAGTATTATTTGTAGAATACTATAGAACAGTGTTTGTATAGTATTGTAGAACATTTTTATTTAATTCCTGCTAAATGAGAATTTTAAAAATTATAATAAAGTTTTATATGGTTGACACTATACATGTTTTCAAAATTGATTTTGGATTTTTGAGATATTTCAACTTTTTGAGATTTATGTAAAATCAATTCTATATATAGAAGTAAAAAAAGTATCTAGTTATATGTATCTTTAATCAAAGAATAAATCTGGGTGATCAAAAAATTTCAGGTTTTAAGTAAAATAATTTTGTCTTCTATGAAAAACTATTTTGATTTTTTTTTCTGAAATTGTAATTTTGAAACTCCAAAATAATTTTGTGTACAAGTATAGTTGGTACAATTGAATTGAATTGAAATTTAACTGATACAATTAATTGAGTCAAAATGAAACTAAAACAAATCAATTAACTAGGTTAAAATTAATTGAATCAATTATCTTTAGTACAGTAATTCTTTTATATTTAATTAGTGATTTTTTTAGTTTCTTAAAAATTTTAAAATTTTTAAATATTTGTATTAGAAAATATTGATTTATTTCAAATAATTCATAATTATTATAGTCTAATTACAATTTAAAAAGTATTAGGTTATACAAGAAACTGGAATATTATTATTATAAAATTTTTTTATAAATTAAATATACCATATTATTATTAATTTCAAAAGTATATCTTATATTAAGTAAAGAACTAGAAATTATCACTATACCTGCCACCCAAATTCAAAATCCAAATGCCGAAATCCCAAATGCCAAAATCCCAAATCCCAAATCCCAAA